CCCCCCCCCCCCACCCCAAAATAATTTAAGCAAATAAACACAGTTCCTAACCTCACTTTCCTCTGAAATCTCCGAATTAACTGAAAGCATATCAAAAGCTGTTCTTTAAAAGCGTGTGAAAATGCAGGAAGAAGTAACCAAAGTGTAATAAATCCTCTGTAAAACAATGAACATTTCAAATCAACTAAAGAAGTTTGGATTTTTTTCTTTCTTTCACGGGAATAGCACAGATTGCTTTCCTTTCTCGTGATCATAGTTTCGGTATCTTCTTCCAAATTTTTTACCACACAAAAACCATATGAAGGAACTCGCAGATAACACAAGTTAATAACGCCCACAAATTTTAAAAACTTGCACTACATTTCAGTGATACCAATGCACAATACAACAGCTGTTTCGTCAAATCTACTCGCTGCAACTGCAGAATCATACACCAGAACAAAGTACGAAACCCTTAGACAGAGAGTTACAAATCTCAGAAGATTCCTGAAGGCCCAGCTTCGAGATGGGTACCTTTTATTTCGCCAGATCAGATCAACCAGTGTAGATGTGGAGATTGACGGCGATGATCAAGATGGAGTAAATGGCGAAGAAGATGAGCGTGTGAACGGCGATTGCTTTTCCGTTGGTTTTCAGGTTTCCGAATTCGAGAGTCCGGTGGTTTCCCGGCAACGAAAAGAGAAGGCCCGGAGAGAGAATCACGAAGAGAATAACGCCGACGAGTACTGGAGCCCAGTCCGCCATTGATGCCGCCAAGAAGAGGCAAGATACGGTGTCGTCTTGGAGTGTAAAAGGTAAAGGCTTCGCCTTTTTCAATTGTAGCGGTGAAGAGAGAGAAGCCGATAGTGTATGGCAGAGGAAAGTTATGGGCTTTAATTTTAGTTTTAAATAAAACTTCTAAAAAATAAATTGTTATTTAATTAATTTATAAATGAATAACATATTCTCGTGCATATGGAATCAGTGAAGAAAGCTAATAAGTAATAAATATCCAACCTAGGAAGGCACGACAATTATTAATACCTATAGTAATTGATATTAGGGCGTTATCTTTAATATCTAGATGATAGTTATCGTTATAATTGGTAATAAATATATCTAATTTATAAAAACATCGATTTCGAAAGTCTTCTATATTTTTTGTTAGAGTACCTTTTTATCTTATTTTATTATTACGAAATAATATTTTTTGTAGTTACGTATTATTACCATATCATAACGGCAATTACGGAAAGAATCATATCTTAAATACAATTCAAATCATTGTCATAAAACGTGAAGAAAAAAGTGAAAATACATTGTCTTATATATATATATACACATATATATAAGATATATATGTGTGTGTATATAAAGACAGAAAGAACGTGGCATGTCTACCACCTCGTAGTAGGTGTATTTGCATGCACAAACTTCTCAAAGAAATCCAAATAAAATAATTCAACCCATATTTTAAACCATACTAATTTGATGTATGAATTGATTACGCTAATGTGAATCTACGGTACAAAAGTTTTATACTTGTTAAAAAAATACAACTTTGTTTTTCTTCTTTAGTAATTATGTGCCTATATATTACTAAATCAAATATAAAATAATTTCTTTTTTACATGAACGATTATTTATGGTTTTGATTTTCTTGTGATGCACACATGAAAAGCTGGATTTTGAAGGACGATTTTAAGTTTCTTAATAACTTAGTCATTGACCAATTAAATGGATAATTAATTATACGTTTGAAGCATATTAAAATATATATTTGTTAGATTATGGCGTGGACCCACCACCGCCCTAATAAATTCAATGTGCCATTCCGTAAGTTTCCCTTTAACCAAAAATAAAAAATAGAAAGAAAAGAAGAAAGAAAAACAAGAAAGGTTACCTTTACTTCTAACTTAAATTTCCTTAAAAAATTATATGCCAAGTCCGTGAAATGTTACGGAATAATTAAAATCGATGAAAGTCATATCAGTAATCTATTAGTTTTTAGATTTTAAATCTATTTCCATTCAATTATTGTAGATTTGATTTTTTTTTAAAAAAAAATTAAAGTTATAACTATTCTATTTGAAATTAACTTTAATTCTTTTCAAATATGATTTTTTATCAATTAAAAATACGTGAAATACGTGTATTTTTTAAAGATTTATATATGCATATTATATTGGATAGAATTAGCATGTGTTTATTAAATACTACTAATAAATATTGTTCAAAATGATAAAAGTAGAAAACAAAAAAAACTCTAATGGAATGCGCCTTAACAAAAGAAAAATTGCAAAATAAATAAATAAATAAAAAAGGGTCGGCAATTATTGATCATGAAGAGCCGTGAGTGGGCAGAACCTACCGGATTATTCGCGTGAATTACATTTAAAAAAAAACATTTTCAAAAAGTAAATAATAAAAATAAAAAAAAAAAACTTTAATGGATTCTGATTCTCTTCTTGGCCGATACAAAGGCGCCCCAACTATTCCCTTCTCCCAATCTCCATTGCATCTCCTCTTTCATCTCTTCCTCTGAAAGTTGCCATCTCTCTTCTGGTTTCTTGCAGAGAAAGTTACGGTCTTTGTTACTTGGGGAGGAAGTTAACGGAGGAAGAGAAGAGATGCACGATTGGGCGGCACCGTTAATCGCGTCGGCGCTATTCGCGTTTCTGTCGCCGGGGTTGCTGTTGCAGATCCCAGGCAAAGACAGCCCTTTGGGTTTCATGAACATGAAGACCACCATTGCTTCCGTCTTCGTCCACACCGTTTTGTACGGCCTCTTTCTCATCCTCTTCCTCGTTGTTCTTGAGATCCATGTCTACGCCTAGCTCCACAGATCTCACGCGAATACATATGTGTACGTAATGTGCTGAAACAGCTGAGTTTTTTTTCTGTCGGAAAGCTTGTTACTTTGCTGTGTGCTTCATTTGAATTCAATCTTAATTACTCGAATTAGCTTAGTGATGAACACGTGTAGTAGTACATTAAGGGAAGTCCCCTGTTAATGGTCACGGAGAGGAATTCATAGAAGATGAAAGAGAGAGAGAGAGAGAGAGAGAGAGAGAGAGAGAGAGAGAGCCAAATGAAGAAGAGCAAAGTACATTTAATAAACAAAAAAGAAGAAGAAGAAGAAGAAGAAGGAATAACTAATTAGCCGATGTACATGTGAACGTGGACGGCGAGCAGGAGGATGCAGATGAGGGTGAAGTAGATGAGAGAGTGAACAAGAACAGAGACGCCGCTTGTCTGAAACGTTCCAAACTCGACCGCTTTGTTTCTCCCCGGGATCTGAACCAGCAATCCCGGCGTCAGCAGTATGAACAGCGCCACTGCCACGAACACTGGCCCCCAATCCGACATGTCCTTCTCTCTCTCTCTCTATGTATAGATAGACGAGCTGAGAGAGATTGGTTTGTGGAGAAAATGGCGAGATATGGGTTATAAAGGGAATGGTGGAAAAGGGCACTTGGTTATAAGTTGAAGTCAGATATATTGGAACAGAAAACAGAGGAATTGGAAGACGATGGTATTCCTGTCAAAGGAGCCATACAATACAAACAAACACAACACACGGAAACAGATGGACAGATTTATACAAATGAATAGACTTTGCTTCTTTCCAAAGAAAACAGAGGAATTGGTAATTATGAGATGTGATGTGGAGAAAGAGTGATTTGGGAGGAAAGGACAGATTTCGATGACTAGGAAGAAGATGGGGGGAGGGGGAAAAGTGAGAAACTGTGGAATCAAGTCAAGTGTGGATTCACATTCCACGCAGCCTTGTCCACTCAAAAGTCAAAATCATCCATTATTGGCCTGCTTTTCCACCAATTGTTTAATTTAATTAAAAATGGTGGGGTCTCAATAAATGGGCCGACTAGTAAATGCTTCGGCCCGTGGGCCTAGGAATTTGTTAATAAAAAGTGAAGGTTAGGCCCAATTCATATTGGGCATTGTGGAGACAGACAAAATTGAGTTAAAAAAAAAAAAGAAATGTGGAGAGTGGGATTTGAACCCACGCCCTTTCGGACCAGAACCTTAATCTGGCGCCTTAGACCAACTCGGCCATCTCCACGTATGCTGGATTTGAACAAAACTAACAAATAACACGGAGAATAGAAATTACAACAATTCAGATCTAATTACTACCGAACTATAATAAATATGGATCAACCATTACAGAAGTATAAAATTTCGTTAAGGGTTACGTGGATTTAAAAACCATACATTATACGAAAAAAAAAAATCTAAAAATCCTCATCGAGTTTGAACACATGGTTCTCTATGGCACTGTGTCCGTTCAAACTCGACATCACCGAAGCCTTCTGGTACTCTCCAACCCTCTTCTCGAAAAAGTTGGTCTTCCCCTGCAGCGAGATCAGTTCCATCCAATCAAATGGATTCGTTACACCGTACACCTTGCCGCACCCGAGCGCACCCAGCAACCGATCCGCCACGAACTCGATGTATTGACCCATCAGGTCACGGTTCATGCCCACCAACGCGCATGGAAGCGCGTCGCAGACGAACTCCCTCTCGATGTCGACTGCGTCACGCACGATTGACTTCACGCGCTCCTCCGTGAGCTTGTTCCTGAGGAGACTGTAGAGGAGGCACGCGAAATCGCAGTGGAGGCCTTCGTCTCGCGAGATCAACTCGTTCGAGAAAGTTAATCCCGGCATTAACCCGCGCTTTTTCAGCCAAAATATCGCGCAGAAGCTGCCGGAGAAGAAGATCCCTTCAACGCAGGCGAAGGCGATGAGTCTCTCGGCGAAGCTCTGAGACCCGTCGATCCATTTCATCGCCCACTGTGCCTTCTTGGCGACGCAAGGAATGGTCTCGATGGCGCGAAAAAGGTGGTCTCTCTCCTTCGCGTCCTTTATGTAGGTGTCGAGGAGGAGACTGTACATCTCCGAATGGATGTTCTCGATCGCGATCTGGAAGCCGTAGAATGCACGCGCCTCCGCGACCTGAACATCGGACATGAACCGGGAAGCGAGGTTCTCCAACACAATACCGTCGGAGGCGGCAAAGAAAGCGAGGACATGGGTGATGAAGTGCCGTTCGCCGTCGTTCAGGGTCTTCTCCCAATCTCGGACATCCTGCGACAGATCGACCTCCTCGGCGGTCCAAAACGAGGCCTCAGCCTTCTTGTACATCTCCCAGATCTGAGGAAATTGAATCGGGAACATACAGAATCTGTCAGGCGTCGGCGTCAGGAGCGGCTCCTCAGGCATGGAAGGCATTTTTAGTGAAATAATCGAAAAATTGAGGAAGAAATGTAGAACTGATTAGGGTTTTTGAGATTGTGTGAAGATATTGGAGACTGAGATTGGATACTTATAGAGGAAATTGGGGATTTTAGGGCTTTGAATGTTTGAATCGGAGGGGGAAATGTGAGGAGGGAAATGGGAAAATGTTTGAAATCTATTTCAAGAAGCTTGCGGGAGAAGATGAAGGGTAATTTCGTGAATACGCAGAGGATTCCGGATTTTTTCGGATGGTTGGTTGGTGTGTAAATAAATGTTCTTATTGGGCTGTTTTCCAGAATTATTTTGGAGTGGAGCGGGGGAAAAGCGAAATTGGCGCCAACATTTGGTGAAATGGCCCGCGAAGTGAGAGGGCAAAACAGTAGTTTGGCGGAAAGCCGTGGGCCTAATGGTCAACTCGGCCACAACACACGGGTTGCACGTGCAAAATTGAGAATTCCACGCGCCACCGCGTGGCCGTCCAGTTTCCAGGCCCAATTCAGAGTTTATAGAATTTGTTATATAATTGAGTCCATGGGCTGTTCAGAATGAACCCAAATTAATGGGCCAGAAAGATAGAAGCCCATTAAGTAATCTAACCAATCAACTGTTTTCCCGCTCTTTTACATGGGCGCGAATTGTATAACGGGCTCCGATGCCCGATTTCAACTGAAACCGGTTCTTTTGGGATGAAACAATGGTTACAGAACTGATATGCCCTCTGTTCCGTGAATCACTTCATTGATTAAGCCTTACTGTTCATATGGCAAGATACGGTATAATTTCAACTACTTTCCTCCAACGGATTTCTATCCTAAAAGGCTCGTGATGATTATAATACCGATCAATATTGTCCGAAATAAGACCACAAAAAGGGGGGCAACCTTCATAGAGCAGAGCTCTTTCTTAATTTCCGTCTCTCAGAGGTTCAAAGTCCCGAACTGTTTGTTCCATTCGTCGTAGATTCCGAGTTCATTCATGGAGACCGATGGTCTGACTTCCTGCATTGCGTCCCTAAAGTCCTGCGTGATGAGGCAGACAGATGTAAAAGACGGATCAAAGAGTTTGAGCTCTGATATAAGACCGCAGAACTAAGGTGTTTGCGAGAGTGTATTTTACCTGAAGAGTAACAGGACGCATGTCGTCTTTCTTCAGGTTGGCTATCTCTATTCCATGTTTGAGAGCTTCTCTCAGTGGACCCATCGATGCATCCTTCACCAGGTTCTTCATGTCTGATCCCGAGTACCCTGCAATAAGACCGCCATGAAAGTTACATCTTCTTCGGATCAGAACAACGAACACTTCAAACCTGTTATGGCCAATAGGAATGTTGAAGTTTGGAACTTGAATGCAGAAACATTCGAAATAATTTACTGAAATATTAGGTTTAGGGTTCAATTTCTGATCGATGCAAATAATTTGTAGGGACTGAGTTGACAGATTCAATGTTTGATTTGTACATGATTCATACAGAAGAGCGCTTTGCCTGGCCTCCCGGATTAAAGGAAGTAAAATCTTAGATATCAAGTTTATAAGACAAAAGGTCATATGAGCAACTTGGATTCAGGAAAAAAAAAAGGATTGTGTTTGGAGTTGCTTTACGAATTTACCTTCGGTTAAGTTACATATGGTGTTCATGTCCTCCTCGGACAGTGTAAATAGTCCATCTTTGTTCAAGAGATTCCTTATAATCCAGGCTCTTGCTTCTTCAATGCATAAACAGAAGTGTGTTAGAGCAATGTTCGTAATCTTACTGAGAATAAATGGACAAAACTAGACATTAAATCTTATCGTTTTTCACCAGATGAAGGAAGAGGGATGTAGAGCTTCTTGGTAAGTCGTCTTCTAGCTGCTTCATCGAGCTCTTGGGGTCTATTTGTCGCTCCTGACAAAAAAACATTTTAAAAAAACAGTGAATATTTCAAAGGTCTTAATTAACTGCAGCTTCACAGGCTCCATCCATAGTACCTATGAGGAGAATTTGGTCATTGCCGCTGTCAAATCCTTCCATTTCAATAAGGAACTGTGTCTTGAGTCTTCTGCTTGCTTCATGTTCACCCTCCGACTTACGCTGTGGCAAGATGAATGTTATGCAGAATGTCAAACATAAAAGCAAAAAAGTTGTATGCAGACGATTTTTAGTCCCGAATTCCATTCACTTGCTTTGATACAGATCACAAAACTTTATTCAGATTGGTGGAATTGTGGCTGAAATGAAATTCGACCCTTAGCCTCCACATTTCCTTGCCAAAGCCTTTACTCAATTATTTCAGTGATGGCTAATTCAGCCTCCGGGTGGTTAAGTAGGTAATTGACCACCCATGCTTCAGCTTAGAGGTTCATTTCTTTTTCCGAGTGCCTCATGGCGACAAGCGAATAGAGTGTGGGTGCTTATCAACAGTTATGGTCCTAGAGAGATCATAACTCACCTGAGATAGGAGAGAGTCTATTTCGTCAACAAATATTACAGCTGGCTGGCGACAACTTGCTACACCAAAAAGAGCCCTCACTAGCTTTTCACCCTCCCCTATCTGCAATTTTGGCATTTGAAAATGTTATTTCCCCACATAATCACCAGGAAGTGAACAAATAGATTCTGGAGGAAGAATCAGATGGCAATTTTCCAGATACTTGAAGTTCTGATCACAATGATTGTCCTAAATTTTGCGACCAGCCGTGCATTATGTCTCTCATGCCATTTTTTTTTGGGGATAAGCTCAGAGTGAATGGTGTCAGACTAACCCACTTGCTTGTCAATGAACTGGCTGAAATATAGAAAAACGTTGCTTTGGCTTCTCCAGCTATAGCTTTTCCGATCATCGTTTTACCAGTACCCTGAAACATAGTACATACAGATACAAAAGATCACAAATCTGACTATATTTTATCTTCCAAAATCGAAAAGAACGAGGTACCTACTGGAGGACCGAAAAGGAGAAGCCCTCTTCCAGGCGAACGACAACCTTTGAATATGTCAGGACGTAACAATGGCCAAATGACCATCTCGGTTACGCACTTTTTAGCATGCTCCAGACCAGCTGCACCATGTAACAAATAGTAAGAAACTCCAGATGTAAGAGGAATGCAAGGAAACCATGGAGAAACATTCTTTTATTATCATACAGTACCTATATCTTCCCACCGGACATTGGGGTCTCGATCCATTATCTCGTTGCTGACATGCTCTATAAGGCGAGGTTCCAAGTTCCTCAGTTTCTCTGGGAGCTCGCCATCAGGACCACAGAGCATCTCCAAGCTAGACAGAGAACTTAATTTAGTGCATGGAAATATATCAAACACAGTTTAAATATCTTTCTGTGGTGTAAGCATGAATTCAATTGAATGCAAGCGTCAATTTAATTGAATGCTTAGACACTTCTTCTGCAGACTAGCACTATAAACAAGGACATGGGACCTAGAATTGTTTAAACTGAATTACTAAAATGACAGTGACAGAAGTAGATCATTTTGCTGCATCTGTAGCTAATTTTCCTGTCCTAGAAGGGTTCATGCAACTAAAAGATGTATCATTTCTTCTCCAAAGTTGCATCATGCACATGTTCAAGTGATAAATAATAGATTTTCAGAGTTTTATTTAGACGAACAGTCCTATAAGCACAGAAGCCAAGGGCAGACACAAGGGACACCAGCTCAGGACATGAATTCTCTATTGCTCGACCACAGACTCTGATCCATAGAATAAGAGTATACACAACTTACCATGTTCTGGTAGATTCGTCCAATGCATCATCAGTCCTGCCACCAATTCGGGATGTCATGTTACCGACATTATTTCCATTCCCATTGGATTTAACTGGTGGAACAAAATTGCCACGGTATCCACGCCTTAAGTATCCGCCTGATCTTGAACCATAGCCCCTAGCTAAGGCACTGCCATCACTCTGTGGAGAAAGTGATGAACTCATCGATCCTATTGATCCTCGCTTTTGTCGCACATCCATTTCCTACACCAGAAGCGACACTAATCATCTTACGTAAACAGCAACAAAAACATAGCTCAAGATCTTATGCTACTGCAATATTAGGGTACTGGACACTCAAGAATATATAGATGCAAAGCACCCATCAAGAAGATTCGCAGGAGATTTAGTAAACTGGTCTTAAATTTTATCAGCATACAGTAAATTGCACTATTTGATGCCCTAATACAAGAATAGTCAAAGATCCTTATACCAATTTAGCTTTGGCAGTTACGAATCCCCTAGCAGGTCCATCTGTCTTTGTTTCCTCATCAATCGTGGGGCTGCTGGTATCTGCGTGAGCTCGCTTTATTCCAAAACCATGTCCATGACCTCTCTCAAGGATGATACATTCATCAGAGCCATTGGCTTGCTTGTTCAGAGAATTTTTGGGCAAGCCATCCAGCCTAGTAATTGTGTCTCCATACAGTGAAGTCAGTTTTGTCTGTGTCATTGACTTCGATGCCTTGGGGATAAACTTACGCTTATCCAGTTGCTCTTCCTGATAAAAAAAACTCAGAGATGAAGTTCAGGTTAAAAAAGAAAGAAAGAAAGTCGTGGTAACGCATAAAGCAAGTATACTGGGCAGAAGAAACAAGGATGTGTTTCTGAATTCTTCACCACTGACAAGCTGAAGTGAGAAACGAAGCCATTCACAAGTGAATTACCATCTCTTTACTGCTCTTTCCATTAGGCTGCTGAAGAAGAGCACAAAAGTATTTTGACTGCTTAATCTTTTCGACGTCAAATTCGCCTTGGTTGCTGAAGACAATTCCAGGAGCGGTTTTTGCAAGTTCGAAGGCCCGTCTACAACCGAGCAAGACAGAAATTTAAAATTTCAGGCACATGATTACCCCCCAAAAAGAAATGCAAGCTCGCCCACTATCAGCATCAGTTAATCTTCAAGATGACTTGACATTTCATTTTCAGCTAAAAAAACGAATGATCAGAATTAGTCCAAAGATTTAGAGGAAATAAACCATGATCCAATAATACATATCAGCTTCAATATGACCAACTTCATGAATAGAAAACTTAATATTCGGACCAGCAAAAAATCGATCCGACATAAAACCCCGAAAACCTCATGCATTTACATAGGAACGAGTAGGAAACACTTCAAGCCCCAGACAATTCAAGCCATATTCAGAAGATTCTAACCAGCTGAACATGTAACAGGTAACAACGTGCATCGAATTTCACAAGCAAAACAAAATAAATGGCTCAGGTACCGATCCGAATCCGAAACGAGTCCTTCAAAAGCAGCCTCGACTTTAGAGGCAGCTTCCCGACGGATGGGACCAATGAAAACGCGATCTTCTTCGGAGACAATTTGCGAATCGAGGAATCCAAGGAGGCGAAGGCCGAGGATCTGGGCTGAGGAGAAGTCGCGCTTCTCGAGGAAGTGGTCGGCGCCGAAGAGCAGCGACTGGAGACGCTTCAATTTCTCGTCGACCTCCTTCCTCCAGCACAACGCCGCCGTCTCTCCTTCATCCTTCATCGGAGGCGGTTTTAGCAGCGGAGAAGAGAACGACGGCGACGAACGTTTTCCCGCCATTTTCCCTTCCTTTTCCTGTCTCAGAAACCCGAAAGAAATTCAAACTCGGCGTTCTTGCTGGCTGAGTCGGCGTCACAGAGTACAAAGTGTGCACACATGATTAAAGCCCCTAACGGCCTAGTAGGCCTTTTCATGGGCCCAAATTAACCATAATATAATATTAATACGTCGGCCTAAAGCCCATATAGCCCAATATAGATCCGGTTACCGCGAACTCGGACCCAGACCCAGACCCGGGCCCGGATATGTGTATACGGTATACTGACCATTGAGAAGGGGGAAACTTTTCACGGCGTCCTCCTCCTCCCGAACTTCATCTCCTTCGTCTCTCCGTACAAATCGCAGACGGAAACTACTCTGCCGCCGCATCCCCCTCTTCCTTCACCGGTGGTCTCTCATAAACGAGGAAATGATCACACCGTCGCATCAATGGCTGCCGAGGAGCCTTCATCCGCTGCTTCCTGTCCTCTGAGCTTGCCTCCGTGATCTGTCCCTCGCTCGCGTACGCGAACAAGATTCACTTCAGTTCAGGCTACAACGTGCTGGTTCTGGTCGATGAGAACGAACCCAAGGAGAGGCTGCTGAATCGGTTCAGGAGGGAGGTGATCAGAGCTGGAGTTATTCAGGAGTGCAAGCGGAGGCTGCCAAGCGCAATCATAAAAGGTTTCGTGTCATTTTCATGCTGAATTTTGGTATTGAGTAACTAGTATCCTCTGTTTGGTTCCTGAGAAAGTTTTATGGATCGGGCGTTCAATCATCTGGAAGCTAATCGGTGCCCTAAAGCTTATATATGGAGTGCAGGGAAACATATTTTCATAGTTTACAATGTTCTGCGAAGATTGGATATTAGTTGTCGGAATATCTTTCATTGCTCCGATCTCACATGACGAAATGGAGGATTGGTGAAGAACAAATATTCTTTCATGGGCATTGTTCATTGCTCGGTTTGTTCAGCATAGCAATATTGGGTCAAAATCCTGGTGAAGAAATGGACTTTTATAATATATATACCATTCATCTGTATCGTTGGTTCCAGGCGTCCTAAGTTGAGGTTTTCTCAGAAGATAAAGGAAGAAGTTACCAAAAGTGAGAAAGAAGATGAAGAGGAGGATAACTGGGACATGCCTGATGGAAAGATGCACCTTACTGGCCATGATTTTCGCAGTGCTCTAATTCTGGGCTCTTTCAAGTTCTGATTTTTTTGAACTTTTACATATGTAAGTTGTGTTGCATGGCTCAGATTCTGTATGTCCCTTCTTCTGGTACCTTGTAGTGTTTTTCTGCAGACAACTTGCTTCAGGCAATAACATTTTTTTAAATCTCATTTAACATATGATTTGTTCTTATTGATGTTAGGCTTCCTGTATTTTGTCTTCTAGAAGCTATAGAGTGAAAGTTCCTTTGCATTTGCTTGGACTTCTCCATAATGGAGATAAACCCCAGGTACCAGTCTCTCCCACTGTCGTATTTCTCCAGTTTTCCATAAGTTGCTTCAGGTTATTCACTTTACTGTCTGTATCATGACAGCAGTTTGCATGAACTGTGCATAGGTTGCTCCAATCTTGTGTCTTCGGTTGACAAAAACTCATGAAGTAAGCATCATCCAGGTATGTTGCTCGCACCCCAAGCACCTCTTTTACATCTCTCCGCTCTAAGATGTCACATATAGATTGCTTTCCAGATGCAGGGGACAATACCCTCTCTACATTCAGGGTTTTAAACAACTGTATGGAAACATCGTTCGATTTCACATGGAAGAATCCTCCATGGTCCTCTGCAGCTGCTCCTGGAGTGGAACTGCATGCAGCTGTGAATTCATTCTGAGGGCTCAAATACACTTTGGGATTCCTTAACCACATCACGTCTGCTTCCTGCAGCCAAGCCAAATCACATACGTTTCAGAAAGCAGCAAGGACAGGTGAGTAAGCAGAGTAACAAAGTGAGGTGTATAAATTCTTGTTAGGTATACTTCTCACATATTCAAAAGCTATCAGTTGATAAAATCTCTAGTTTCACTTTGCAGAAAGGATAATGTTGCAATGGTTATGAGATTGTGCAAGAGAACTCACGGTGAAAATCAGGTTGTACCCGAGTTCTAGAATCTCTTTCAACAGCGCCTTTTTCCTCCAAGTGGCAGCCATTCCATCGGGGTTTGTTGAAGTTTCCTCTGCTGTAGACGTTCTTCGAGAATTTCTAAGATGGAAACAGTGGGGATGTACAGTTTCACAATATCGAAGAGCTTCATCATCTAGAGCCACAACAATCACATGATCCAAGAAGTGTCTGGTCCTCTCCCCAATCCTAAAACTCTCTAGGAACAGATCAAGCAGAGACCCGGGTTTCGCCCATTCTCGGTCCACCATGGTAACTATGACAGTCCTGTCTTCCATTCTCGATCTTGTAAGCAATCTCGATAGGCCAGAAGGATCCTATGACCAGGAAAACTAGTCTTTATCAGTGATAACAGAGGTACTCAGATACGAATCACGGTTTTTTCATCATGGCATAGAAGTACTAATGGAATGATGTCGATCTTACAGGCCGAGTATGGGCAAACACAGTTTCTCTGATCCTGCTTGAATCCGAAGGACATGGTGATGGGTTAGACAACAACCAGAGAATCGCCAGGAGAAGGCTGCCTATGACGAGGTACGGCAACTTTACCATTCTCACAACATTCACCATCTTTGCTCTTCTGAATCCAAGAACATGGTCTGTAGGAATAGGAATCTTGAATTGCTAATGAAAAAAATCCCCCCAGATAGTTTTTCATTTCAAGATCCGATAAATAAGGTAACCCATCTCGCGCGTTTTCTATCGTTGGTAATTTCTTGGATTCTCTCAATTGTGCCAATTTCTTACCCCCAATAGCGTTTTCGTAGCAATCACGGACAGTAATTTCCAGTTCTTGGATCTAATGTTACTCATATCCCTTCACTATCCAAGTTAAATCAAGAACAAAAAAAAATATTAAGCCGCCAATAAAACTTATTTCCTTTTCGATTTGATTGGATTTTGTGAGTTTTCAAAGCCAGAACAGAGTTTTTGATTATTTCCAATTCAGTTCGCTTCAAATTTAAGCATTTACAAATCACACAAAAAAAAATGGTATATATTGCATTCTACAGATTTTTTTCTTTATTTTTATTTTTATTTTTATGTATTTTCGACGGGAGTTCCCAAATCTTACGGTCCAATATGTCTCTCTGATTCGGGTCACTGTAGATGTGATGTAAATACCCGTCGCTTTCATAATTTTTGTATACAATGATATTTTATATATAATTTGATTGATTGTGGAATCTTGTAACAAATCATTCATAGGTGCAAGCTTTTTTTTAATGTACAAGACAAAGGGTGTCCCATGGAATATACGAACGGGTCACTCATGTATTATATTGCGCATGATGATCACAAAGGTGATACCAATTCCTAAAATGCCCAATGGTGGGTTTAACCAATCAATCAGTCGGAATCCAAGCTACGTTTATATTTTTAAACCATAGTATAATTTTATAATTTATTTTATAAAATTTGTATGGTTTGGTAAGAAAGCATCCAATGGATAAGAACTCCCACGTCAGCAATTACAAAAATATCTTGGCCAGTGGACAGAAAGATCTTTCGAGCTCGACTGTAACTGCTGTTTTGTTTACACGTTAGAATAGTGTTTGTGTTTATGTCATAACATGTAATATACTTGTCGATGATTGATGTTTGACTTAAATTTAATTATTTGCACTCAACTTGGATTGTATCTTAATGAATATGTGAATTACAAAAATCTTACACTTGAAGAAAATATTAACTAGAATGATAGACATGCATGTAGGTGTTGATATCATTGCAAAATTTATTATTATTTTCTTCTTATGCTAAATGATTATCCGACATGGTTACAATTTGTGGTAACTAAGGATTATACTTCGTGTATAAGCTAATTAACCCATGAATGAAAATAAGCTAATTATAAAAAATAAAAAATAAAACAAAATTGCACGTAAATATACGTAGTTACTCATCTAAATTTCTTGCACGAATTGGTGTGATATTTCCTGCAGCCATGATGATGGTGTTATCAATAATGTAGCGCATTGGGCACCATGGCAGTAACAAATAAAACAAACCCATAAACGTATAGATAGTGTACACACACACATATATATGCATGCATGATACATATACGTATATGTATGCTATATAGGTATGCGTGCGTATCCGTGTGTATGTAGAGACAAACCCCGGAGGGAAAAAAATTGCTTTAAATTCTCAACTAGAAAAAAGGAAAAAGCCTCTCAAAAGTGCCGTTCGAGAGAGAGAGGGTACCAAGAACAGTAAAACCTCTGGCTGCAGAAGCTCCAAAGAGAACAAGTTTTTGTCTCTGTCTGTGTTTTTGTTTTTGTTTTTTTTTTTTTAACAGGAGATCTTGTCGGAAAATATGGACGAAGATATGAACACGTACGGTAACAAAGAGCATGGAGAAGGAGAAGAAGCAGATCCAGAGAACAACGCAGTGAATCAACAACCTCTACTGAAGAGACACACGAGAACACTCTCTTCCACTCCACTTGCTTTGGTCGGTGCCAATGTCTCCAAGATTGAGAGCTTGGACTATGAGTAATGTCTCCCTACACTTACATCCATCTCCGTGGCTTTAAAATAATCCGTATATTCAATGTTTTTCTCTCCTCTGATGATTTTATGGAATCCGGGTTTCTATAATTTCATTCCAAGTTTCGATCTTTTTTGTTTTCCCGATCCGTCATGGATCAAGTATTCATCAAGAAACGAACAAGGTTTAGGATAAGAACGGGGATGAGTTTGTGGTCTTTGTTACTTGATAAATAAACGGTTGGTACGAGAAAGATTCTGACCAGACAGGAGGCTTTTGGATAATTTCTCTTTATTGGATGATGTATATAGAATAAACGAGAACGATCTGTTCAAACATGACTGGAGAAGCAGAAAGAAGACACAAGTGATCCAGTACATATTCTTGAAATGGGCACTGGCTTGTCTCGTGGGTCTCTTGACTGGTCTCATCGCCACTCTCATCAATCTCGCCGGAGAAAACATCACCGGCTTCAAGCTCCTCGCTGTCGCCCATTTCATTTCCCAGAAAAGGTGCCATTTCCACCACTTGCTTGTTCGCATATTCCGGTCCAAGTTTTCTCCCTGCCATTGTTACGGAAATCTCGTCAGGGCAGATACGTGGCAGGTCTGATAATATTCACGGGAGCAAACCTCGGACTTACGTTGGTGGCCGCAGTTCTCTGTGTGTGTTTTGCTCCTACGGCTGCGGGACCGACCATTCCTGAGATCAAAGCTTACCTTAATGGCGTAGACACTCCCAACATGTTTGGTGCCTCCACTTTAATCGTCAAGGTCAAATATAAAACCCGAAAAGCTTAAATCTTTTCGGGTTTTCGGTTAACTCACATGTTTTTATTTCCTGGTGGCGGGTGTTTGGTAGATCATTGGCAGCATTGGAGCGGTTGCGGCCAGGCTTGATCTGGGAAAAGAGGGACCTCTGGTTCACATCGGAAGTTGCATTGCTTCACTTCTCGGACAAGGCGGTCCGGACAACCACCGGGTCAAGTGGCGGTGGCTACGTTACATCAACAACGACAGGGACCGTAGGGACCTCATAACGTGCGGAGCTGCTTCTGGGGTCTGTGCCGCTTTCAGGGCGCCAGTCGGAGGTGTCCTCTTTGCACTCGAGGAGGTGGCCACTTGGTGGAGGAGCGCTCTCCTATGGAGGACATTCTTCAGTACCGCCGTGGTGGTGGTCGTGCTCAGGGAGTTCATGGAGATCTGCAACTCCGGGAAATGTGGGCTGTTTGGACGAGGAGGGCTCATCATGTTTGATGTGAGTGATGTTTCCGTTCGGTACCATATGGCGGATATCATCCCGGTCACGTTGATCGGTGTCATCGGTGGCCTTCTCGGGAGTCTGTACAATCACTTCCTGCATAAAGTTCTCCGCTTCTACAATCTCATCAACCAGTAAGTGTCACAGATAATGTACGATTCAAGGCCGATATCGAGTGATTAGCACGGAGTTACTTACTTTGCATACCTTTGGTCTGTGTTCTGCAGGAAGGGTAAGGTTCATAAGGTGGTTCTGGCTCTTTCTGTATCACTCTTCACCTCAGTCTGCCTGTACGGTCTTCCTTTCCTGACGCAATGCAAGGCCTGTGATCCATCTATTTCTGAGACCTGCCCAACAAACGGAAGATCGGGCAACTTTAAACAGTTCAATTGCCCGGATGGTTACTACAACGACCTAGCCACTCTCCTTCTCACCACCAACGACAATGCTGTCAGGAACATCTTCTCTTCAAACACTAGTAATGAATTCAGCATGGGCTCTGTCTGGATATTCTTCATCCTCTACTGTGTCTTGGGGCTTTTCACGTTCGGTATCGCCACCCCGTCTGGTCTCTTCCTCCCCATCATCCTCATGGGCTCAGCCTACGGCCGGATGCTTGGAACTCTCATGGGATCCTACACAAGCATTGACCAAGGTCTTTATGCTGTTCTTGGTGCGGCCTCTCTCATGGCTGGCTCAATGAGAATGACAGTTTCACTCTGTGTCATATTCCTAGAGCTCACAAACAACCTTCTCTTGCTGCCCATCACGATGATTGTGCTTCTAATTGCAAAGACGGTAGGAGACAGCTTCAACCCAAGCATTTACGAGATCATATTGCACTTAAAGGGCTTGCCTTTCTTGGACGCAAATCCCGAGCCGTGGATGAGGAACCTCACTGTTGGCGAGCTTGCTGACGCTAAGACCTCGGTTGTGACCCTTCACGGCATAGAGAAGGTCGCTAATATAGTCGACGTGCTCAAGAACACGACACACAATGCGTTTCCAGTCTTAGACGATGCAGATGCACCTCAAGTCGGTCTAGCCGATGGTGCTACGGAATTGCATGGGCTGATTCTGAGAGCGCACCTAGTTAAAGTTCTGAAAAAGAGATGGTTCTTGACGGAGAAAAGAAGGACCGAAGACTGGGAAGTGAGGGAGAAATTTACATGGGTGGAATTGGCCGAGAGAGAAGACAACTTCGAGGAGGCGACGGTCACGAGCAGCGAAATGCAGATGTATGTTGATCTCCACCCACTCACCAACACAACCCCATACACAGTTGTGGAGAGCATGTCGGTGGCCAAGGCTATGGTGCTGTTCCGACAAGTGGGTCTTCGTCACTTGCTCATCGTTCCCAAGATCCAAGCTGCAGGGGTGAGTTTAAGCCTTTTTTCACTTCCGAAACCTGCAAGATCCAAACTTTAGCAGCACTAACTTATTCGGTGATCAACTCGATTTCAGATGTGTCCAGTGGTCGGGATCTTGACCAGGCAGGATCTAAGGGCATACAACATTCTACAAGCTTTTCCTCACCTGGTGAAACCCAAAGACAGAAAGGGACAGTGAGTCGTTACATGCACCAAAACATCTACAGTGGCTTGCAGCAGTGTCGTACTCAGTTTTTGGAGGTATTTCTATCAAGTTTTGCACTCTTTCTTCATACTCAACAGGTGATGTTAAGGTAAATATATCATAGGTTTGGCTTTTTTCTCCTTGTAAAGCATGTGTTTTTTTTCCTTCAAGAGTCAGTTCTTACCAATAAGAAAAGGACCATGCTCCCTTGCCTCTGAAGCAAACGTGTGTCTCTTTTCCTTGTGAGCCTACACAAAACTTCCCATCATCGATCTTTCCTTCAGTCTTCCAGCCTCTACATTCCGAGAAACGATGTCGCTTCTAAGCAGGCGATTTCTTTGCTACCGATTTCTTCTTTTTTTGTTGACCCCAACCTCCTTCTAGAAGACGACCAGAATTTCAATGCTGGAACACATTTGTAAATTAGGCGTTGAAGATACAATTGAATTCGAACCGTGAAATATGAGTGTATGAACTTAATACCTCTGAGTCGTCGGAAAGAAATTGAAACCGTGGGGCTTTGGCTTTGTTCGAGGTTGAACTGAAATCGTACAACGTCATCTGAACACTGCGATCACCGAAATGCCGATCGAAAGTGAAATCGTCGACGCCAATACACTTGAATAATTCGGAAGCTAGCCTTCGACGATCACCGGTACGGTGGAGGTTGAACACGTGAGAACAACCTGAGAATCAAATCGACGAGAGAAATTCCAATCTCACGTCGACATAATTTTCCGGGCAATTGTACAATGGGCGGATTCACAGTTCATACGACCGGAGGCGGAAGCGGCGGAGGTGGATGAGACGATTTGAGTAGACACGTGGCGGGTGATGATTGGATAGTGAACCCCCGAAAACGAAGAAGTGTTCGACGGGAATCAGTGGCGGATGCGGATAAACCAATGTTACCATATCTCTCGCTGGATTATTGCCCGAACCCGGAAAATAGAACCGGACAAAACCGGAACGGCTCACTACGAATTGAAACGTCACCGTTTTGTTCACTTCGAACCCTTTTGAAACAAGAATGAAGACGACGTGTTTTTACAGATGTGTACTGTTTTTTTTTTTTTTTGATTTCCATTGAAGTGCCAATACAAGAAAAGGGTGAGTGGAATTTGAAGCCATCAGCTTTTGAACGCTGTTTCATAGGGGAAAAAAAAAACAGGGAATAAGACCCCATTTTGGCGTTTGATAACGCGCTGAACATGCACAGTTATCGCGTTTGGTGAAAACGCTGCGATTGCGAGACTATTCGTCAGTGCCAAAATAGCGATCACCGAACTCGCCCAAGCCTGGTATAACACGATACTCCTCGTTCAGACACTGGTCTATTTCCGACGTCACTATCTTTAACGAGGGGAACCGCTTGCACACACAGCGGATTCCCTCTGGGGCCTTATAGGACACAAAACGCAAACGCAAAAAAGTAAAATCGTTAAAACAAAAAGGAAAACACTCATCCTTTTTCCATACAACAAGGAAAAAACGATAAAAACTGAGTTTGGATCTCACCGAAATGAGGTTGAGGAATATGATGTGGGATTCTGGAACTCCTTTCTGTATGAGCAATTCGATGGCCTGGTTCGCAGAATTGCCTACAAGAGAAGCAAAGACATGTTATATACAGTTGAAATTCCTCAGTAGCCTAAGGCCCAGACCATTGTACCTGTGGCTAGAACAGGATCTAGGAGCAGGACATGGCGCTCAGAGATGTCGCGAGGAAGCTTCTCATATATAAGCTGGATTCACGCGTAACAACGAGTTTTAGAGATGATGAAGATGTTTAATCTTTAGTTGTGTAAAAGCGTACATACCTGCTGTCCATTGTCACCATCGCGGTGGATCAGAATCTTCCCTATTTTGATCCCTTTGCAGCATGCACGTAACGCATTTTCCATGCTTTCACCACTAATCAAAAACCGTACAATACAAGAAACTATGTGTAAACAGTTTGTGACTGTAATGAACGGCAGCCCTCCTTATCAGAAACACAAATAACGCAAATACCTTTCAAGGCTCACCTTCTAATGATTGAGACTCCACATAGTTTCTTGCAGAAATCAACACCCATATACACAGACCCTGAAGTGGCAAAAAATTAAAATTTAGAACCATAATAACTGGAGTATCCGGTTCTATATTGGAAAACAGATGTCTCTTTTGCATCTGATATGTGTGCTAAGACCAAACACCCACCACCAATTATGGCTAAAGCTAACCCTGAAAGACTTGTTTGCTAGTGAATCAATTCCCACAATATGCAACCAGGTTTTCTAGGCCATGCCCATGAAGCAAAGGCCTCAAAAAATTTACAAGATCCATGTGAAAGAAGGATACCATGGATAAATCAGGGAAAATTTTCAGATACCATGATTATAGGAAGGTAACCTACAGCTCACGTCATTCTCCTATATTACCTGTTGGAGTAACTATTTGTTTCTCTGTGAATGGCAAATGGCCGAGACCATGCTCCACAACCTGAAAATTAAAGCCGAGAACAATTCAAAAATCAAGATACCATCATAACAAGAGGCCTGAAAAGCTCAGTGGGTACAAAGGGAAGATATGCGACACGGACATACCAGACGAATGAGTCGGTCTGAATAAAATACAAAGTCATGCTTAGATATGTCTTTGTCCCGAATAAGCGTATGCATGCCTCTTATCTGCAATCAAGATTCTTCTTGTGTGAGACTAATGATTCGAAAAACTTGCAACCTTAATACAGAGTCAGATATTTGGCAAAAGACAAGAAAATACCTGGAATGTTGATTGGATAACGTACACATTCGGGTAAAATTTGCAGAGATCGTGCTGCCCAAGTTTTGAGCGGATGTGTTGCACAATCAGATCGATTGCAACATGATTATCGCCTCCTCGGGGAATGATCACATCCGCATATTTCTTTGAGGGGAGCACAAAATCATCGAATGCAGGTTTCACAAACTTTGCGTACTGCAAATGAGAACAACATCATCAGACAATAAAAGTTAAACAATACAGGAAGCTCACAGATATTGCTGTTTCACACAACAGCTCAAAATCCACTTCACCAAACTACAGAATAAAAGAAGCCATTATTGAGAGACAACGCGGCATTCAGTAAAAGCAGGAACCATATGTCGATGTTTCCTGACCTTGTATATCAGGCGCATTATCAAGGGAACTAACTAGAGTGAATAAAAAACCTCTGGATATGCCTATGATCAATGCTACACCAAAACCTGAAAAGAGGCCTCACCTGCTCAAGTACGGAGCTCACATCCCGACCCCTCTCTTCAGTGTCACGTCTAATTCTGCGAGCAAGCCTCACATCAGCATCTGGAATCAGTTAATAGCTAAGATGAGGAGTCTGATTCAGAGGAAGGCGAAGAAAAAGATAGACACCGTGCAGATAACTATATTGCTTCAAAAGCACCAACTCAGCCCTAGCCGCTAAAAAATTATGTGATAGGAATAAAGTGAGAAATCCCATCAACTACAAAAATGAAATGAGGAAATTTAATCACAATAACAGTTGGAGCTACATAGAATAAATAAGATCAGAAACAGGATGAAAATGGATAAGTATGACAAGATGTATGCTTGCTTATGGGAGGAAGAAAAAGAAAAAGACAGGTTCCGGACTCATGGATCAACAAAGATCCTATAATCAAGGTATGTAGTTACCTGTGTCAACAAAGATCTTCATATTCATCAGATTCCGAACTTGCTGGTCATGGAAAACAAGAATCCCCTCCAAAATGATAACATCAGAAGCATTGACCTGACAGAGGAGTCAAAGTTATATTAGTTCTATAAAAGCATGCTCTCTGATTGCAAAGCCTGAAGTCACAGTAGATCAAACACATGGCCGCAAAACTACGGTACATTGGACGGCCACGAAGTACAGAGATAATTAAGTGCACCAATTGAGAGACGATTTTGGTGAAGACAACATTAATAATGGTAATGCATAGAAGAGTGTGAACCTGACGAAAAGTGTCTGATCTACGTTGATGAGTCTTAAAGTCATAGATAGGAACTTGATACGGCTGCCCGCTCTTTAGTTTCTCAACGCAGACCAAAAGCTGTTTAGTGTCAAAGGCATCTGCAGAAGAAAATAAGCGACATTAACCAAATGCTGTGAGCTAAATATAGATGCTGCTAATCAAACCATAATCAGTGAGCAAAAGTAAGAGGATTAACCATTAAGAGCATTTACCCGGATGATCAAAATTGTACTCATGGACACGCTGCAGTTCTTCAGGAGTCAAACCACGGTAAAAGGAATCCTAATCAACAAGAAGCATGAAAACCAACGCCAGAAGCCCGTAATCTTGATCAAATACAACAGTAGATTTCCCAGCTTGCAAGTGAAACACAAGTGCAAACTAGCCCACGGAATCAGACCTGATTAACAAGAACCACTCGATGATCATGAAGTTGCTGGATTATCATGTCGCAGACCGTGGTCTTGCCAGAAGCCGTGCCACCAGACACTCCTACACAATCACGTAGTCGAGGGCAAAAATCGAATTAAGCCCTAGAAACTGATATCCATGCAGATTGCTCATCTTATTCAGGTGAACGAAGTTCAATTCTGTTAATCTCGGTAGCAAGAATGCTATTAAAGGCCGAAATTTTATCATCAAAAACTTGAGATAAATCGAATAAAATGCGGTAAGAAACTCCATGGGCGCCAAAATCCAGCGATCGAGTGATAAAGAGCCAGGTGATCCGAAGGTGAGAGAGCTCGGGCAGAAGAAAAAAAACAAGCAGAAACGAAGCGCGAAACGAAAATTACCGATAACGAACGGTTGTTTAGGCGCGCTGGGATCGGAGGAAGCGGAAGATGACGAAGCGGCCGGTCGGAGGTGCGACAGAGAGGAGACGGAGGAGGACGGCGGAGAAGAGAGATAGCCGTCAAGGCGGAGGCCGGAGAAGTGAGGCCCCGAGGCCTTCTCCATGACATAGTCAATCGACGTCGAATCCTCCGGCATAGTTTTCCGGCGAACGAAGCAAAATATGCGCGTGTTTTGTCGGATTGTTGTTTTCCAAGAAAACAAAGGACGACGAGGAAGAAAAAGAACTAACGAAGACTGCCTTCTATAGCCCTCTCTCTCTCTCTCTCTCTCTCTCTCTCTCTCTCTCTCTCTCTCTCTCTCTCTCT